ATAACAAAAGAAACAGAAAACAATTCTGGGGAACTAGTAAAAGGAACAGATACTGATTTAAAAGGTCAAGGGGGAAGTAGGTGATGCTGATTATCAATATTATCAGAACAACCAGTAACTCGGATAACAATCTTCAATTATCTAGAAGTCACAAGCTCATCAGTAAATCATGCATCTGCAAAAGACAAGGGCCGCAGGGGAGGTCACCAGGCTGAAACAATGCCTGGTAAACAAAGTCATAGAACAGGTTAAGATTAGGAGCCAGAAAGGGGAACACAATACCCAGTGGCATCACTTCAGCATTCACCCAGCCGTTATCTCATCAACCAAGAAGGCTGAAAATAGTGTTCTGTTTAGTCATTCTTCTCCCAATTTTTCTTCCCCATAGCTCGACAGCCTCCAGCCAGGGAAAGTGTGTAAGGAATCAAGCTCACCTAATGGCGGAGGCCAAGCTGTTAGCCTCTCACAGGGGCGATCCCCACAGATCTTTGACTTTGTGTCGTATACGCTGGCATACTTTCAGGGTCTTGCATCACTTTTTTCCTGATTCTTCCCCTGGAATGGGCTGTAGGCATGTGTAGTGGCCTGCTCCCGCTCAGGAGGGAGCACATGCGCAGCCTATTTGCTGGAGTTGTAGCATCCTCACTTGAGGCATTCTTCCCTTACCAGTCTAGCATTCCTAGAGTTAAATGCTGCCATTTTGCATCTTAATGCGCATGCCTGAGCCCCCACTGGCTCAGCTCTGGAGACCTTATCAGGAAACTGCTGATCACCAGTTTCAGGTTTTTTCTATCTTTTGGGAAACTGCCTTTCCCTGGTGCAGGCTGTGACCAGTAATTACTTTAGAGAGACAGCTTGAGACTGCCTGATCAGCACTTGATGGATGCCTGACATTCATGGTGTGTGTGTGTGGTGGGGGAAGCCCTCTCCTGCCCTGCTCCTGTCTGACTAGCTACCTACTGTAACATGTCCACACAAAAACCTATATATGATTTTTCATAGTACCTTTATTTTTATAGCCAAACTTGGAGACTATCAGCTGATTCTAAACTCCATATGTAAGTGTAACATAACTGGAATAGTTCAAATAATTTTGAAAAAGAATAATAATATTGGGGGATTATGACTCGATTTAAAGCTTAGTATAACATGGCATTATTTACTGAAGATGTCTGGCAACAAGCAAAATTTACTAAGCATGCAAAGAAGTAAGAAAATATGACCCAAAACAACATATTGATAAATTAAACCTTATCAAAAAAATTTCTGCTCTTCAAAATATACTGTTATGGAAATGAAAAATGAAGCCAGACTGGGAGAAACATTTGTAAATCAAATGTCTGATAAAAGCCTGTAGCTAGACTACTTAATGAACTCTCAAAACTCAATAGTAACAAGTCAGGCATGGTGATCAGCTAATCTTTGAGAAAGATGGCAAGAATATATAATGGAGAGAGGATAGTCTCTTCAATAAACGGTTTTGGGAAAACTGGATATCCATTTGCAAAAACAAACCAAACCAAATAAACCAAAAACAATGGAGTCAGATCCTTATCTCACACCAAAAAGCAACTATAAATGCATTAAAGGTATGGATGTGAGACCTCAAAATGTAAGATCCTTAAAACATAGGGGAAAACGTCCAGTGGTCTTGGCAATGACGTTTTGGATACGATACCAAAAGTAGACAACAAAACTGAAAATAAACAAATGGGACTACATTGAACTGAAAGTTTCTAAGCAGAAAAAGACCCAGTCAACAGTGACATGACAGTTCACAGAACAGGAGAATATATTTGCAAACCATAGATCTGATAAGGGATTAATATCCAAGATCTCGTACAACTCAGTGGCAAAAACACTTAAATAACCGAATTTTAAAATGGGCAAAGACCAGCCTGGGAAACATGGTGAAATCTCATTTCTACAAAAACACAAAAATTAGCTAGTCATGGTGGTGCACACTTGCGGTCGCAGCTACTTGGGAGGCTTAGGTGGAAGGATCCCTGGAGCCTGGGAAGTTGAGACTGCAGTGAGCCATGATCACACCACTGCACTTCAGCCTAGGCAACAGAGAGAGACCCTGTCTCAAAATAAAAAATAAAAAAATAAATTGAAAAATTTAAAAAAGTGGACAATTGATATTTTTCTGAAAAAGACATACAAATGGCTAACAGGTACATAAAAAGGTGCTCAATATCTCTAATGATCAGGGAAATACAAATCAAAACCACAGTGAGATATTGCCTCAAACTTGTTAGGATGGCTGCTATCAAAAAGTCAAAGGATAAGTGTTGGTGAGGATGTGGAGAAAGGGAACCCTTATCCATTGTTGTGAGAATGTAAATTAGTACAGTCATATGGAAAACAGTACAGAGGTTCCTCAAAAAATTAAAAATATGATTATATGAGCTAACATTTCTATCTTTGGATATATAGTCACAGGAAATAAAATCACTATATCCAAGAGATATCTACTCTACTATGTTCACTGCAGCATTATTTATAATAGCCAAGATATGGAAACAAAGCAAGTATCCACCAATGGATGAACGGACTTTTAAAATCTACCCACTTTGGCCTCCCAAAGTGCTGGGATTACAGGTGTGAGCCACCGTGCCCAGCCGAAGATGAATGGATTTTTAAAATGTGATATATATATATATATATATATATATATGTACATATTTACATATATATATGATGGAATATAATTCAGCCTTAAGGAAAAAAATCCTGTCATACACAACAACGTGGATAAACCTGGAGAACATTACCCTAAATGAAATAAGCTAGGTACAGAAAGACAAATACTGCATGATTTCACTAATATATGGAATCTAAAAAAATCTCAGAGACACCGAGCACAGCAATGGTTTCCAGGGGAGAGAAGTGGGGGAAATGGAAGACACTGGTCAAAAGGTACACATTTACAGTGACAAGGTGAATTAGTTCTAGAAACCTAATATATAGCATAATGACTATAATTAATACTAACATTTTACTTGAGTATGTACAATTTTTGTTTGTCAATCTAACCTCTAAAGCTGAAAGAAGAAAAAAGGAAATAAATAGACTGAGAAAAAGAAAAGGATGAATCAAGGAAGCATGCTGTAATCCTTATTGTCAATAGGACATCAGCAAATATGATGTAAGTGGAAACGTGAACAGCACTTGTGCACTCAGGCTTTCTCTCTTATTGCTCTAGGCACCCTTGCCATGGCTGCCATGTGAAGCCTTTGTTGGCTTGTCATTCAATGATAGATGTAGGGCTCAATTGTCTCTCTGCCCCAAGGACCAGCCAGGCAACCACTGGAAACAAGTCATCCAGCTGACCACAAAACAGCTGGCCGTGGAAGTATGAGTGAGCCCAGCCCACATGAGCAGATGAACCTACTGGCTAAATCAAGCCCAAATTGTGGATCCACACAATTCTGAGCTGAACAAATGACTGTTGTTTTAAACCACTAGATTTTGAGGTGGTTTGTTATGCAAAAAGAGCTGATTGATAGAGAAATTGACACCTTATAAGTGGGTTGCTGCTGAACTAAAAACCTAAAACATGAGGCATTGTCTTTAGGATTGGGTGACAAACAGAAGCTAGAAAAGCAGCAAGGGAACTATTTCCAAAGCTTGAAAAATTTGCAAGTAAGCAGTTGTGGAGGCTGGAATGTAATGAGGAAACTGCTCTAGCCACCATGGCATGTGAGTACCTATGCAACAACCCTGCAGGATGTGCACATGTACCCCAGAGCTTAAAGTACAATAAAACAAAACAACAATAAAAAACCTGACAAAAATTAGAAAAAAAAAAAAGACTGGGAAATTGATGACCTGTGTTGAATAGTATTAACATCTCACAAAGTTGTTGTTGCCCATGGTAATTTGTATAATCAAAAATAAATCGAATAAACTTGTTGACATTGGCAAGATGATTTCCAGGAAGAATGTTGAAAGCGTTTTAGATGCCTATGATAAGGTATGGGAAGAGAGAGATCAGCTAAAGAAAGAATTGTTAAGTTTGCAACAAGAGTTGAATAACTATAGAAAAGTCAGAAGGTAATGGGTTGAAAACCAAAACTGCTTCTTGTCCTTCAAGCCAGTAAATTATTTTCAAAGTAAGTAATGGCCTCAGGGTAAAAATCTAGTTAAGAGTGTAACTATGGGACCGACCCTTAGATTAGATAAGACCACTAAAAGATTTATGGTGGCTCCTAGTAAATCCTCTCAATTATACAAAAGGGATTTAGTTTGCCAAAATTAGCAAGAGGCTATCTAGGAAAGAATTTCAAATGTGGCTCTATGGCATGAAGGTCAGAATCAGGTAAACTGGAAACCCACAAAGTCTTTATGAAAATTACATTGGCAAAAGCACTGCTGGATAGGTCTAAAAGGCTCTGAGATAATTTAAAATAGTATACATTAATAAAAACTAATTTTAGCTATATACATTAACACAGATAATGACCAATTAGGCTTACCCAAAGAATACAAAGTTGGTTTAATGTTGGACCACTGAATAAGGTAATGTATCATATTAACAGATTAAAGGTGGAAAAAATATATAATTCTTTTTAAGTGAAGAACTGCTGGCAATATTAAAAATTAAATCATGATTTAAAAAGCAGCAAATTACCAAGAATCATCTTTAACCTAATAGAAGGAAATTAATTATATATTTTCAGAAAAGTACAATGTATACTTAGTGGTAACATGTTGAAAGCACTCTCTTTAAGGTCAGGAACTAGACATAAATGCCAGTTACCATCATTTACATACAATATCTGTAAGATTTATTGCCGAGGTAAAATGAGGAAACTGAGGCAAGTATAAAAAAAGTGAAAGGCTAATTTATTCAGCTCCCGGGCAACCCTCAGTAGTCCAAGAGGGGGTCAGAGAAGTCGCGCCCAGCTGTTCAGGGCGTGGGGTTTTATGGGGAGTGCAGACAATTGATTGGTTACTGGGGAAACAAAGAGAAGGCATTTCTATTGGCTGTTGAGAAGCAGGAAGTACATGGAGTTAAAGTAGGAAGTACATGAAACTAGTTGCCATTGGTAGGCAGGTGAGACCTTGGGTAAGTGGGCCTTGATTGACTACTGGGGAAACAAAGAGAAGGCATTTCTATTGGCTGTTGAGGAGCAGGAAGTACATGGAGTTAAAGTAGGAAGTACATGAAACTAGTTGCCATTGGTAGGCAGGTGAGACCTTGGGTAAGTGGGCCTTGATTGACTACTGGGGAAACAAAGAGAAGGCATTTCTATTGGCTGTTGAGGAGCAGGAAGTACATGGAGTTAAAGTAGGAAGTACATGAAACTAGCTGCCATTGGTAGGTGGGCGGGACCTTGGGTACAGGGGCCTGCCGGGGCATACCGGGCAGGCTGTTGCTGGGCAGGGAATGGTGGGGCTTCTTTAGAAAAAATTTCTCTGTAGAGTTTTTTAACAGCGGGCTGGAGGTTGGATGCATAATTTAGTGCTGAATGTGGGCTTGGGCATGGTATGCAGAGGCGGGTGCGGGGAAGCTTTGTGGGGAAGCCAGATAATGAGCTTGGGTGATGACACAGTTATCAAGTGTGAAGAGTGATGAATGTGTTCGTTTGACTCCCGGCAGGGCAACTGGCTTTACAATATCATATTAAAAGTCTTAATACTTATGGTAAGAAAAGAAAAACATGTGCTGGACACAGTGGCTCACACCTGTAATCCCAGCACTTTGGGAGGCTAAGGCAGGTGGATCACAAGATCAAGAGATGGAGACCATCCTGACCAACATGGTGAAACACTGTCTCTACTAAAAATACAAAAATTAGCTGGGTGTGGAGGTGCCCACCTGTAGTCCCAGCTACTTGGGAGGCTGAGACAGGAGAATTGCTTGAACCCAGGAGGTGGAGGTTGCAATGAGCCAAGATTGCACCACTGCACTCCAGCCTGGGCAACAGAGAGAGACTCTGTCTCCGAAAAAAAAAAAAGAAAAAAAAAACAGAAAAACATGTATACAAAATTAGAGAAAAAAAAAAAAAGAAAGTTACCATCATTTTCAAATTATATGATTGTCTATAAAAAATACCAAACTTTTTACAGATACAAATTTACAATTAATAAGAGCATTTATCAGAATTAATGGACACAAAATCAACGTTAAAGCCAATATAATTCCAGCAACAATCCAAGAGTTCCTCTTGGAGACATGTTTACCAGGAGTCTTACAGAAGAATTTTCATGATGTCTCTGTTTATAATAGCAAAAATGGAAAAGCATGGAATAGTTATCAATGACAAAATATCTATACATTAGGATATGTTCGTACAACAGAAAACTACACATCACTAAAAACTAATAAACTGTAACTATATATGAACAGAGATTATTCTCAAAAAACATATGGTCAAGTAATGTCTCAGAATTATAATACTGTATTATTCCATTTACATAAAATTCAAAACCAGACAAACCAAAAAAGTATATATTAATAGTCTAGTGACACATATATGGGAAGAAAATTATTAGTAAAAACAAAGGAATGAAAAACAGGACATTCATGTGAAGTCAGAGAGAGACTTCAAAGATATGGAAGCTGTTCTATCTCTGAGGCTGGGTGGTGGGTTCACAGGTGTTTGTTTACTATTTTTAAATGGTACGTGTATACATCATTTATATTATTTTCTGTATGACACACTGCATAATTAAAAAGTTTTAAGAAATATTTAGTCTATGGGACATTTCCGCATGAAGCTTTCACAAAATCGACTTTCCAGAGAAATAGGTGGATATGCCCTTTATTTATGTTCCCACAGATTCCCCTCTTTTAAAACGTGTACCAAATTATCTATTACTGCATATTTGTTGGTGTTGCCACCTAAATGGCAAGCTCCTTGAAGATAAGAATTACTTTTCTCATTCATCTTAGTATCCTTGGCACTTAGCACATGGTCTGGCTAATAAAGATTTGTTTTAGGGAAATGAGGGGACTAGTTGCTGAAAGGTGGTAAACCATACACATCTTCATGCAAACACAAATACACAGCTGTGGGAGGTGGATGAGTTCCTTTTAAAGTTTCTGTCTGGCCTGCCTGGACCCTCGTTACTTGAACCCGGAGTTACGGCCGAATTAAACGAGACGGAATAGGAGTTCAGGCTTTATTGGAGAATCTCCGGGCGGACTGGACTCATGCACAGCGGGGAGTCAGCATCTCGCGCCGGCTTTCTTTGTCTTGCGGTTTTTATAGGGGTAGAGGAGCCGAGGGAGTGGGAGAGCTGAGGTGATGGGTAGCGATTGGTCAGTTTAGGCTGCCAGGCGGGAAATTTGCGGGCGGGAGCCTGTTGGGCGGGAAGTTACTGGAGAGCTGAGGGGATGGATGGTGATTGGCTAAGGGGGTTGCTGGGCGGAAGGCAGTTGGAGTTGAGCCAGCTGGGGCTGTGCTGAGCCGGGAAGCTGGGCGGGGCAAGATAAGGGACTTTTCCATGCAAGGGAAGGGGAGCTCTCCACATGGGGAAGTTAAAAATATCTTCTATGTGGCTGGGCCCTGAGTGGGGGCAAGAGGGGCCCGAGGGTTCTCCACCAGATAGTTTCCTTTCTTGTTAAAAAAAAAATAAGTGTGCTAATAACTGTGTGCCTATCCTGTGTAGCTGTTAGACATGCCATGCTTACAGGCACGTAGTACATTCTATGTCCTTGTACTTTAACCAAGTTAACTGTGCTGGATGTGCTCACAGGCGTGTCCCAGTGCTTCATTGCTCTTATCTGTTTAGAAAAGTTTTAAGTTGTTAGCCAGTGGGTGTTAGTTTAGATTGTGAGGTTTGGCACCAGCCAATGGAGATCAGACACAGCAGTGACGACCCCAAATGCTTAAGGAATAAATTTGCCTGTTTTCCTTTGTTCCTTGTACTCTTGTGGCAACATGGCTAGTAAGAGTACCCTTCCTGGACATTCCTAGTCCAGGAAGTAAAAATTATGTTGTTAAAAAATCCTTTGTCTCAGTGCTAATTTTTTTTTGCAGCACCAAGCATGTATTTCCAACAACAGCTTATTTTCCTTTCAGATTTGTCTTATATTACAGTCTAGTAATTTTCCAACTCTTGATTTTTGGTAGTGCTGTTTTTGTTGGTTTTTTTTTTTTTTTTTTTTTTTTTGAGATGGAGTCTCCCTCTGTTGCCAAGATGGAAGTGCAGTGGTACAGTTTCAGCTCACTGCAGCCTCTACCTCCCAGGTTCAAGAGATTCTGGTGTCTCGGCCTCTGGAGTCACTGTTGTTACGGGAAAGGGGTCTCAGTACAGACCATAAGAGAGGGTTCTTCAATCCCACACAAGAAAGAATTCAGGGTGAGTCCACAGTGCAAAGTAAAAGCGAGTTTATTAAGAAAATAAAATGGTGAAAGTGTTACAGGAAAGAGGTCCGAATTCAAATCCCAAGAGAAGGTTCTTGGATCTTGCACAAGAAATAATTCAGGATGAGTCCTCAGTGCCGAGTGAAAGGAAGTTTATTAAGAAAGTAAAGGAATAAAAGAATGGCTACTTGGCCGGGCTCGGTGGCTCACACCTATAATTCTAGCACTTTGGGAGGCCAAGGCAGGTGGATCACGAGGTCAAGAGATCGAGACCATCCTGGTCAACATGGTGAAACCCCATCTGTACTAAAAATACAAAACTTAGCTGGGCATGGTGGCACATGCCTGTAGTCCCAGCTAGTTGGGAGGCTGAGACAAGAGAATTGCTTGAACCCAGGAGGTGGGGGTTGCGGTGAGCTGAGATTGCGCCATTGCACTCCAGCCTGGGTAACAAGAGTGAAACTCCATCTCAAAAAAAAAAAAAAAAGAATGGCTACTCCAGGCCAGGCATGGTGGCTCACGCCTGTAATCCCAGCACTTTGGGAGGCCTGGGCAGGTGGATCACTTGAGGCCAGGAATTCAAGACCAGCCTGACCAACATGGAGAAACCTTGTCTCTACTAAAAATACAAAATTTGCAAGGTGTGTTGGCACATGCCTGTAATCCCAGCTACTTGGCTGGAGAATCGCTTGAACCCTGGAGGAGGAGGTTGTGGTGAGCTGAGATCGCACCATTGTACCCAAGCCTGGGCAATAAGAGCGAAACCTCAGAAAAAAAAAAAAGAATGGCTACTCCAAAGACAGAGCAACCCTGAGGGCTGCTGGTTGCTCATTTTTATGGTTATTTCTTGATGATATGCTAAACAAGGGGTGAATTATTCATGTCTCCCCTGTTTAGACCATATAGGGTAACTTCCTGACATTCATGGCATTTGCACACTGTCATGGTGCTGGTGGGAGTAGCAGTGAGGACAACCAGAGGTCACTCTCATCGCCATTTTGGTTTTGGTGGGTTTTGGCCGGCTCCTTTACTGCGACCTGTTTTATCAGCAAGGTCTTTATGACCTGTATTTTGTGCTGATCTCCTATCTCTCCTGTGACTTAGAATGCCTTAACCTCTGGGAATGCAGCCCAGTAGGTTTTGTTATTCACATCCAATAGTACCGAATATTAAGTGCATTTAATAAAGAGATCTTCCAAACGGCCTTTGTGTGGACAACAAGGCTGTTTTATCTCTCACTTGGGTATAGGCAGGCGAATCTGAGAAAGGACTGGGGTGGGAATTGGTTTTATAGGTTGGAGCAATTTTTGGGAGGCCAGGGGTGTTACAGAGTAAGATTAGTTACAGTGCTGGGGGTAGGGGCAAGGAGTATACATTACCATAAGTTCAGTTACAGTGGTGGGTGGGGTAAGGCGTGAGAGTAGTTAAGATAGTAGGGTGGGGCGGAGGGATATTCACAGAGCAAGAACAGTTAAGATGGCAAGGTGGGGTGAGGAATATTCACGTTATCATAACCGTTAGGATGGCAGGATGGGGAGAGAAGATCAATGTCTGGGAGAAGCTCCACTGGATGATCAGGGATAATGGCCAACACAGGCAGTGGGGGATGGGGGAGCAATCGGCCAAGGCAGGCAGGACTTCAGACTTTCTGGGTCCAGTCTTGCACATGGAAGCCTGACAGGCTTCAGCCTTATTTTACCCAGGTCCTATTCAAGATGGAGTTGCTCTGGTTCACACACCTCTGACAAAAGAACAGCTACTCCTATTCTTTTGGACAGGAGTAGGGCATTACCAAAAGTAACAGGAGGAACACGTGTTCCCTAGGTACAGTGCTTGTATATAGAGGATAAAAAAGATCATAGGGAGATGTGCTCTGCTACAAGGGTTTG